CCCACCCTTTGCCCTTTTCAGACAGCCTTACAGCTGTCTCTAACAAGAAATCAAGCCCTAGTGGACAACAATCAAATTTCATAGACCTTTGTCCACGCCTCTCAGTATCTTATACAAAGGAGACATTCAGGAAATATTTGATAAACAGAATTGGATTCAAGCAGTATTCAGAGAAGTTGCTCTGCCAGTCTGCCCTTGTTTACTATGGAACACAATATGATGCTCTTTCTTCCTCTTTACATATTTTCTTTTCTTAGCTTGATTTGAATACGAACACTTTAAAAGAATTTTACTATTTTCCTTGCTATATATGATTTTTTAACTGAATATAATTTATATACCATAAAATTTACCTTTTTAAAGCATGGGTTTTAATATATTCACAAAGTTGAACGATCATTACCACTATCTAATTCCAGAATGTTTTCACCATTTGCCAAAAAATCCCCACATCCATAGGCAATTAGTCCCCTCTACCACCCCCATGCAACAGCCAATCTACTTTCTGTCTCTGCTATGTATGATTTTAACAAAGCTTATGGTAGGTAATCTTAACTGTGGTTTTATTATACCTTAAAGCCAAATTTTTACCTTCCAAAAAAGAAAAGGGGAGGTTCTTATTTTACCATAACTCAACAGGAAAATGTGATTTAACTTTAACACAGAAACTGACTAAAGTATCATTTCAGGATATAAAACAAAAACTCTTACCAGGAGAATGATCTTACATGTTTACTTACCTCAATTTCAGGACAACCTAAAATATAGAACATTTTGTTTGTTTTTGTTTTTGTTAAGCTTTTTATTGAAGAAGTATAATATACATACAGAAGTACACATGTCATAAGGGTACACCTTGATAAGTTTTCATAAACTGACTACAGTAGTCCCTGTTTATCAGCGGGTGATACATTCCGAGACACTCAGTCGATTCCTGAAACTGTGGATAGTACAGAGCCCTATCTATATTTTTTCCTATACATAAATACCTATGAAAAAGTTTAATTTATACATTAGGCACAGTAAGAGATTAACAATAACTAATGATAAAATAGAACAATTTTAACAACATACTGTAATAAATGTTATGTGAATATGGTCTCTTTCTCTCTCCCTCAAGATATCTTATTGTACTATACTCACCTATTTTCAGGCCTCAGTTGACCTCGGGTAACTGGAACCGTGGAAAGTGAAACCACAGATAAGGAGAAACTACTATATAAAAGTGTAACCAGCACACCGATCAAGAAACAGAAGCCGCCCTACTCCTCCCATAACTATCCCCAATGAATAACTATTATCTTGACTTCTAACAGCACAGATTACTTTTGCCTGTTTTTGTACTTTTATAAATGGAAGCATACAGTATACAGCATAGAAAACTTTTACATTGAAAGTCTATGCTTTGTAATACTCACCATAATCTTCTTGTATAAAGCCATGACATTATCATCATCAAATGGTAGAAATCCACACATAAGTACATATAAGAGTATGCCCATGCTCCACACATCAGCCTAAGAGAGAGAAAAAAAAAA